TTACCCATCACTCCCTTGCTAGTTCTTTCTCTGTCGTCAGCTCTCCCTTAGATTAGTACTTTGCTTATTCTCGTTGTTCTTCGTATGTTGTGTGTTCCTAGTTTCCCTCTGCATTTTTTGGACCGCTCCTCTGGATCCTGGCACCCTCAGCTCCACCAGCCATCATCACAGGTCGATGCACAGTCTCCACTTTAACTGAACTCTCTCATTACCTCCACAGTCAACCGGATCTCCTACCCGACCAGCCCAGGAGTGATTCCAACCCCTGCAGCCCGGCCCATCATCACTCCACGGACAATAACTCCTACTACTGCTGGTCGACACCCGGTCATATTCATACCTTCACCTTGTATATATATTTGCACTGCTTTAACACTGTAAATAAATCACTACTTGCATCGAAGCCAGCCGCCTGGGTCTGCTAATTTCTCCGCTCGCTCACATTTGTGTCGAGCGTTCATAACACTTTCAGTCTGAGGGTATTGCTCCATGGTGACAGGTGTTTTCTGGTGAACCATTTGCATACAGTATATCATAGTGATAGAGACCTGGGACATACGTATGTTCGTGCCTGGCGTCAACATAGCGTAGATGTAGTTTACACAAGTTCCCTATATGGAAAGCAACTTGTGGGACATTAAGTTACTCTTTTAAATCTTATCTATACATTACGCATTATATTGCATTATATTTGGGCTGACATGGCATTTAACTTTCCTCAGTGCTGACCTGTTGGTAATCAACCTTGGCAGCCCGTGATTTGAGAAAATACTCTATTTCAGAAAAACTGGGATTATCAAATCAAATCAAATTTATTTATATAGCACTTTAAAAACAACATCCAGTTGACCAAAGTACTTTTCATAAAATAAAATCACAATAAATAACTAAAATAAAATCGATTCAGTGCAAAAATAAAACAATAATTCAGACACACAGATGACACACATTTAATAAATTAGATTAAACGGAAATCATCAGGCCCAATTGTGCATCAGGTCAGTAGCTGATCTCACATTAAAAGGTAGACTATTTGCACAATTCAGGGGCTGCATCAGTAAAAGCACGATCACCCCAGCATTTATATCTGGCCATAGGAACCTCTAAATGAAACGGGCTTGAAGATCTGAGGGACCTTGTAGGTTTGTGCCAATGCACTAGTTCAGTGAGGTAAGATGGCGCCAAACCATTAAGAGCCTTAAAAACAAAAATTAACAGTTTAAAATCAATACTAAAATGGACTGGAAGCTAGTGGAGAGAAGCCAGAACTGGGGTTATATGCTCAAATTTTCTGGCACTTGTCAGAAGACAAGCAGCAGCGTTTTGAACCATCTGAAGACGAGAGAGGGAGGACTGGTTAACACCATAGTATAGAGCATTGCAATAGTCAAGGTGGGAAGTGAGAAATGCATGGATTGCAATCTCAAAATCATTAAAAGAAAGGAATGAATTGACTTGACTTAACAACCTGAGGTGGAAGAAGCTAGATTTCACAACTGAGTTGATTTGCTTGTCAAACCTTAACTTGCCATCAAACCCCTAGGTTTTTACATTCGACTTCAGATGACGAGCCAGGGGGCCCACACCCTCGTCAAAAGAGGTTAAGTTCGACAAGTCTCCAAAAAGCACACACTCAGTTTTATTTTCATTAAGATTTAAAAAGTTAAGTGCCAGCCATGATTTCAAGTCTGTCAAACAGTCAAACAATGGTTGTAATGACATTCCTCTCGCTGCCTTCAGTGGATTATAGGCTGCATGAAAACTGTGTTTGTGTCATATCTAATAAGAGAAATATATCAGTGCTTTTTCCCACTGGGATATCTTTGTTTACCATTTAGGGATTTTAGAAATGCCTTATTATTCAGTCAAATACTTAAAAAAGAGACTAAAGAAAAAATTGTTATAGGATAATCTAAACTGCTCCATAGTCTGTGGATTTATTGTATTTGTTAGATGATTTGATTTCTGTTAATGTGATTTCCATGTGCTAATAGGAATGTCTTCTAGCAATAATATTTTATCCCTGGATTATTTTACCTTCAAAAACTAATATAAACAATAACAAACTGTTACACACTAAATCAAAAAGCAAGAAAGCACAAAACAAAGATTTTCTAAATATTTAATGGTGATGTGTTTGAGTCAACACAAAGCTTTTCCTCCATCATTTGTTTGGGTTGACAATCTTGCCAATGAAGAGTATGTCTTCTGTATCACGATCAATGATAGCAGCCATAAATGGCTGATTGAACTTCAAGACAGGGGTGAACTGGATGGACAAAGGCACGATGCCAATGCCTGTGACAGCTGTGGCAGTGGCTCCGGCCTCATCAAGATCCAGGGTAGCTTGGTGCACAACCTGTGGTACAGTAGAAGCAGAGTGAAATGAAAGGTGGATGAATATGTGATGTGGGAGGAAATGTGTGGGAATATGCTCTCTGTCCTTACCTCTGAGACTGCCAGGTTGCGGCCTGGTGAAATGCCACTCAAATCTGCATTCTGGCCAAACATGTCTATCATTCCCATTTCAGCCAATACATCATTCAGAATGTAGGAAGTCTTGATTGAAATCTTCGGAATAAACACATCATATTTCCTAAAAATTGGGAGATGGATAAACATACAGTGATTGACCTGACAAGACAAAGATGAGTATTTTATACAGTGTCATATCTTCTGTGCTAGAAATCAAGAATATATGGTTGTTTTTAGATTCTCCCTACGAGGATCTCTTCCACTTGAGCCATTTGGTGATATAAGTGGAGCCAAGGTTATTCTCCAGCGTTGCCATATCTTTAGGCAGCATCAGTAGCATGGAGAAGGAGCTGTTGAAGGGAAGATGGAGGACTGTTGTGTTAATGTCACGGTCATTGTAGACATCAAATTGGCCCTCCCTGTTCATCATCTGGACTGGAACCTGGAAAGTGACCATTTAAACATGAAGTCACTTTATCCAGAAAAGGCAGAATGAAGGATACATAATGATGGGTAAGCTTTGAAACTGAAACCTTTGTGTTCTCATCCACTATGAATGTGTCTTCTCTAGTCCGCTGAGGATCAAATGGAGATTCCCATTTTCCTGTTTGATGGCAGTGAGCAGAAATAAAGCACATTATTAAGTTAATGCATCAAACATACAGGTGTGACCTCAGAATGAGAGAACTCATCTCATGTGACATTTTACCTTTGTAGTAGATGTAGCTAATGAGATACATAATTGTTGCCGGATTTAGGTTTTCAACCAGCTTGTCTATCTTCCCGTGGGTTTTCTCTGACACGTAGTTGTTGATGGTATCGGCGCTGTCTGTGGGGTTGGTGAAGTCAACATTGAACCCTTCTGCTAAATAAGACTGCTTCAAGGTGTCCAGGAATGCAGGCTCTGGCTTGAAGTGATTGGCCACAAACACAGCGGCCCCCTCACTGATGTCTCCAGACAACCTATTTTCCTTTAGAAGAAGTGCATGGAAGGCCTGATTTACATCAGCTTGTGTCAGTAAGGAGCCGTTGAAACCCAGACCACTGAAAAGCTGGCGGTGGGTCTCCTCACGGGCTCCTACGGACAACGCAGCCAAGGCAATGGAAACACTAGATGGAGAGCAGAAGGTGTTCTTGCCTTCGGAGTCAGCAATAGGAGCCAATTTCCTATACAGACGGAAGGCAAATTCTTTGTTTGCTGACCTCACCAATGAGGCCGTGTTGGTGCTGCTTTCGAGTGCAGTGTCTTGGTGTGAGTGATCTTTGACTACATGACCAATATGGTGATGACCTCTCCCTATGCAGACCACTGCTGTTAGGATCCAGATACCCAGGGCTGTACGCATCATGGCAAACTGAGACAAAAGGTCAAAAGTGCAGCATTATTTATTTAGGTTACACAATCTTTACTGTTGAAAATATGCATATATTTTCCTAGATACAATAAATATGTTTTAAAGGCCCTCAAAACCTATTTTCTCAATAAGCTTCCTATTAATAATAATTAGGTTCTACATGAACATGCTGTTTTCTACCAAAATTGGAAAAGTTTTGGTAATTTTACATACTGATTTCTGTATTTTCTTTCCTGTGCTGTCATTGGTTTGGGGATGGTGGTGTTAATTTAGACAAGGTGATGTCACACCAATCAAGATTTAGTGACATTAAACTCAGATTCCAATGAGAGTTTTATGATTACATAATCTCCATGAAGCAGATTACTTGGCTCTTGCTTATATTAAACTAAATTAACATTAAAAAACTTTTTTCATTTTCATTGTTGTATATTTAGTTTAATGATTATGACAGAGAAATGCTTAAGATTTCAAGCAAAGTTAAATATGGTGTGTGAGAAAAAAAAAACATGTCAGTGTGAACACCCAGATTCTTTTTAGCTACTTACCGTCTTGCTGGAGCTCACGTCTCCTCAACCACAGACAGCAAAGCACAGGCTGGACATGGGCAGACCTCCCATTTATAAGACTGATCAGAACAACTGAACTTTGTCTTTGTTTACCTTCTATTGCAACCTCTTATTTGCTCAGCCACTGTGTTTGTGCTGTGTCATCATTACTGTCTAACCACAGCATTAAACTGGGATCATACCGTATCCTATTTGCACAATTGCATAAGATAAATCCAAAAGTCAAGCAACATGGTTTGCTGTAAGCAACATGTATATAAAAGTGCTTGTGATGATCACAGTTTCTAGTCATTACTGTGTAGTCCATAGAAAACCATTTAGTGCGCTAATATATGAGTAGCTCTGATGTGTAAATTCATCTGACTGCCAGATAATCAGCAAAAGTTGCACCAGATTTGTCTTTTAATGTAAAATCTAGGCAATCCATTGTAAGAGACTGTGCTTAAAAAAGGATCAGATGCCCTAACAGAAGTATAAAAACAACACATATACAGCAGTAGAGAAAGTAAAAAAAAAAAAAAAGACCGGTTTACATTTTGAATGCAATCACTGCATCTCATATTCTCAACATTGTGGAGAATGTCTGGGCTACTGTATCTATGTATAGTATATTTTTACTTTAGGCCCCATGCAAGCTGAACAGTGATGCTATAGTTTCAGACAGGGTTCAGTGAAGCATGCCAAAAAGCTGGCCATTCAGTTTGATGAGTTGTCGGAGGAAACCTCGATTAGGGATGATGCCCCGTTTATCTTTCACAGCACAGATAGCCTCCACAAGAGTCAGGTTTTGCTTCAGCATCAGGTAAGCCAGGACCAAGGTCGCAGAACGGCTTACTCCTACATGACAGTGCACCAATACCTTACCTGAGAATCAGTAAAACATTACGTTGCATCATTCATTTCTAAACAGACATCAAATCTAATTGCCTTTAAACTATCTTTATCCTTTTCTTCAACCCCCCTTACCTCCACTGCTGAGAGCTCTGTGGATAAAGTCAGCTGCTGCACAAAAGTGGACGCTTATGTCAAAATCGCAGGAGTCATGAGCCTCTATGCCCATGTAGGTGATCTTCATGACCTCGTAGATTTCTGGAGGTCCTCTGCGTTTACTGTGGGCTGCACTCAGGACATGAGTGATTTGTCGCGTGATTAGATCAGCCCGGCTCTCGGCACTGTGTCTGAAAAACAGAACACTCTGTAAAAGGTTGCAGACCTGGATGGATTGCTGAAAGGGCCTACCGGGTACAGGCCCAGGGGTCCAAGGATCAGGAGGCCCCTGGACCAGAGCCTCTGTATGAACTGGCTGTTAACAATTCTTGTTAGAAAGTCAATCAACAACAAATAGACACAAAACAAGGAAAAGATACATACAAAACAGTTACAAAGAGATGCAAAATGAGCACAAGGATATGCAAAACAAACTTAACCAAAACAAGAAGACAAGACCACAGAGATGCAAAGCAACTAAAACAAGAAGCAGTGAAGAAACGAAAAATAACAAACAACAGGCAATTAACAGTACAATGAAATCAAAAATGGCTATAACTAAGCACAAAATTATTAAAATGAGACGCAAAATGACCAGAGAGAAATACAAATCTACAAAAATGATGCACAAAGCTCTCTTTCAGTCTGAGGGTATTGTTCCATGGTGACAGGTGTTTTCTGGTGAACCATTTGCATACAGTATATCATAGTGATAGAGACCTGGGACATACGTATGCTCATGCCTGGCGTCAACATACAGTGGGTACGGAAAGTATTCAGACCCCCTTAAATTTTTCACTCTTTGCAGCCATATGCTAAAATCATTTAAGTTCATTTTTTTCCTCATTAATGTACACACAGCACCCCATATTGACAGAAAAACACAGAATTTGACATTTTTGCAGATTTATTAAAAAAGAAAAACTGAAATATCACATGGTCATAAGTATTCAGACCCTTTGCTGTGACACTCATATATTTAACTTAGGTGCTGTCCATTTCTTCTGATCATCCCTGAGATGGTTCTACACCTTCATTTGAGTCCAGCTGTGTTTGATTATACTGATTGGACGTGATTAGGAAAGCCACACACCTGTCTATATAGGACTCTACAGCTCACAGTGCATGTCAGAGCAAATGAGAATCATGAGGTCAAAGGAACTGCCTGAAGAGCTCAGAGACAGAATTGTGGCAAGGCACAGATCTGGCCAAGGTTACAAAAAAATTTCTGCTGCACTTAAGATTCCCAAGAGGACAGTGGCCTCCACAATCCTTAAATGGACGACGTTTGGGACAACCAGAACCCTTCCTAGAGCTGGCCGTCCGGCCAAACTGAGCTACCGGGGGAGAAGAGCCTTGGTGAGAGAGGTACAGAAGAACCCCAAGATGACTGTGGCTGAGCTCCAGAGATGCAGTCGGGAGATGGGAGAAAGTTGTAGAAAGTCAACCATCACTGCAGCCCTCCACCAGTCGGGGCTTTATGGCAGAGTGGCCTGACGGAAGCCTCTCCTCAGTGCAAGACACATGAAAGCCCGCATGGAGTTTGCTAAAAAACACCTGAAGGACTCCAAGATGGTGAGAAATAAGATTCTCTGGTCTGATGAGACCAAGATAGAACTTTTTGGCCTTAATTCTAAGCGGTATGTGTGGAGAAAACCAGGCACTGCTCATCACCTGTCCAATACAGTCCTAACAGTGAAGCATGGTGGTGGCAGCATCATGCTATGGGGGTGTTTTTCAGCGGCAGGGACAGGACGACTGGTTGCAATCGAAGGAAGGATGAAT